TCTCTTTCTTTCTCTCTTTCTCTCTTTCTCTCTTTCTCTCTTTCTCTCTTTCTCTCTTTCTCTCTTTCTCTCTTTCTCTCTTTCTCTCTTTCTCTCTTTCGCTCTCTCTCTCTCTCTCTTTCGCTCTCTCTCTCTCTCTCTCTCTCTCTCTCTCTCTCTTCTTCCACCGGGCATAGGGAGCGAGTTAGGCTCGGTGGCCACTTGGGCCCCCCCTGTTCTGTAGATGGAGCAAATGGGCTGGGAGGTGAAAGCTTCACTGTATCTCTCTCTCTCTCTCTCTCTCTATTTCAAATCCAAATTGCAAAAGCTCTGGCGCCTGGACGACGGACGGAATGCACCTTGGCCATGCACGTGCATCAGTTTCTACCAGTAACTGTCGAAGGGGGGGCGGGGGGGATACCCAAGACCTGAGTCTCACGGCCCCTTGCTTGGGCATCTTTCGCGAGGGGCGCGGAGCTTGCTCGGTGACACAAACCCTTGCGCGGCACCGTTTCTCAAAGCCCCGAGAACAGCGCATGACACGGCATGCAACTTTCAGCCATGCCTTCTCTCAAACTGAGAGGCATCAAACCGTGTCCCCCATCAGCCCCCGTCAGCATCAACTCGCACACATCTTGGTCTTTGAGTCCGTGACCCTCCCAGAGGGTTCACCCCACAGTCGTCGTAGAGACGAAGCAGCATGCGGTTCTGCGTCTCCTGACATTTGTGCGGGGGCCAAGTGATCGATGCAGGGTGTATGTTTGGACATCGCACTCATGGATTTCGGCCTTACAATGCAAGTGCCCAGCGTCGGCAGAAACTGAGGTCGTCACAGGCACTTTAGGCGAGGCAGCGACACGTTTCTTGTTTGGGCATCGAACACTGTTCCGACAGGACAGCCCGATGCCCTACGAGCGCTCAAACATCCGCGAACGGGGGAGAGGCTCCCGCGGGTCCTGGTCACTCTTGTACTTCCGCTGAATCTGCTCCACCTTTGGCCGAATGAGCTGCATGATTGCAGAGGAACCTCGGACAGAAATCGGGGCATGCAGGCCCCACTAAAAAAGCGGAACCCTCTAGGATCGGATCCAGGCCCTCGACCCTTAGACCGTTCTCCTAGACAAACAAAAGTGAATCCGACTCTTCGGAGTCCGTGCTTCAGGATTCTCTTTGCGATGAAGAGGTCACCTTCAAAGCCTTAGAGACTACCAAGCCGGGTCTTCAACCCTGATACTGCAGCAAGACCCTGAAACCAATTCACTAAACCTGCTGAAGATTCAACACTTGATCCGGAACTCTACACCCACGGCCAGACCTTCGGAAGCTCCGGCACGGCAGAAGTAGTTCGTCTGTGGCCCGGACGCAGTGATGTCTGGTTCAAGGGAAACGTCAGCAACTGCCCGAGGGTGCCCAAGGCCCCAGGATTCAGACCGCGTGGATGGAAGGGCAGGTGTTTTGCATCAATAGATCAAGTCCGATGCCTTGACGCCTCGTTTTAGCGAAACCGAAAGGGAAGCATGAATACCGTAAAGGCTCAGCTCCTAGGCTTTACAGAGTGTATTCATGTTTACACCGCTGCGCCCTCCGCAACAAAAGATCCAAGCCAATTTCTTCGGGAGTCGTGCTCTGGCAAAGTCTACAACCCGCCTTGATCAAGAGCGTATAGAAAATGATCGCGAAACCTCGTTTCAGCGCACATAGCGGCGTCAGGCTCTGGAATGTGTTACGTCGCATCTTGCAAATCCCAAGTCTCCCACCCTTTGGCGCTTTGACCCACTAACCACAGACCGCATTAATCCCCTGAGGCAGGGGCCGAAGCTGTTTGGAATGTGCAGTTGGTCCTCGACGACCTGGCGTATTGCGATTACAAACCTTACGAAAATGACACCACCACCACCACCACCACCACCACTACTACTACTACTACTACCACCACTACTGCTACTACTACTATTACTACCACCACTACTACTACCACTACTACCTACTACTACTACTACTACTACTACTACTACTACTACTACTACTTCTACTACTACTATTGCTACTGCTACTGCTACTGCTACTGCTACTACTACTACTACTACTACTACTACTACTAAAACCCTAAACCTTAAACCCTAAACCTTAAGCCCTAAACCCTAAACCCTGACTTGACGG